GAGGCATTTCAGATCAGCACTTAAATTAATTTAAAAATCAACTTCACACGATAATTTCAATAGCAACCACGTGCGTACAATTGACAAACTCACATAGGTTATGTTTACTACTTAAGAACAGCTGATGAGAGGGGTGTTATGTAAACAAACATGTGTACCAACTGTTGGTGATGAAATATTTCATTTGTTGAAAACTCAATATACATATATATAATATAATGATACTATATCTTGAAAACAAGAGCTAATATATAATTTTTATGGTCACTTTCGGTTTTAACACGTGGAAATACATTAAAATCATCAAATTTCAACCCCAAAACAAAAACTTTGTTGTGTTGTGTAATTTTTAAAACGACTTTGAAGTCATGAGCCTCAAAGTCGTAGTTTTCCCATGTTACTTGATCAAGAATGAAGCGATTTACAGCATCCATGGCATTCTAGTTCAAAAAATAAAAATTGGAATAAAAATGATTTTATTCGTCAAATATTGACAAGTGAAGTATTGTTGGATTCAGAATGTCACTCTCGATCGAAATAAGTGAAAATATATAGGATGTCCCATTTAAAAATCGAAAGTTGGGGTCATTTCCGGTCACAACGAAAGTAAGGCAAAATAAGTAAGTATATCAGAAAATGTAAATTGAACTGTAATACAGAACCCCCAAATTTCGTTTTTCTATCTCCAATAATAACAAAGTTTTAGGGGTGAGCCACCGTAGAGAATCGCCCGTTATAAATTTCATTTTTTCATAGATCATCGAATTTCTAGGCAAACTTTTTGAAAACTAGTTGGTGACTAATTGCAATCTTCAGTGGTTTATATCGACCACTAACTTTTCAGGTTGAACTTTTCAGTTTGACGTTTAATTACACTTTAGCAGATTTTCAATTGATTTCCCTTCTTTTTTTTTATTCAGATTATGAAATGCTAAATTTTCAACAATCAGCAAAAAACATCGACTCCTTCACAAAAAACGTCTCTCAAAGATTATAGTAATGATATGATTCATATATTTTGTAAATATACTTACTTTGAAAAGAGGTGGCTCAGTTGGATGAGGATGAAACCCACCTTTTCGACAATTCGCAATGAATTGCAATCCATGAGTTGGAGTCAAAATGAAGAAACCAGTTCTGAAAATTTACATATCAAAATTAGATTACACTCAATCATCAGAAAAATACATGTTTTTCTTGTAAAAGGGCCTATTCAAAACATTAACTAATATCCTTGCCAACATATAGAAAACACCTAGCATTGAAATGTGTTTATGTAGGCTCCTTTTCTACTTTGTTGTTTTACTTTATCAAAACACCGTATACATTTTATATTTTGTTTTGTATTTCCAACTTGACACTACATTCCTCTGCAACCTACATCAAGGAACACAGAACTTAACTTAAAAAAACGTCATTATATGTCAAGG